TTTATTGATCGTGATCCTCACTGGTACACTCGCATTCGTACACGCTTAAAAATGGCATGGACTGATTGCTGAAAGTTCGTTAGATCGATGCAGACAGAAAGCTGCAAACATGAATTCCATATCCCGACCACCATCATAGAACGAAATTGTCTCAAAAGCAACAGATATAAACTTCTAGCATAACAAGCGAACGCCAAGGAGCAACCATGCACAAATTAAAGCCAGAGCCATAGCTAAGGTCAATATGCTAACAACAAGAAAAGCACTATACGTATGATGCACGATCCTCGCAGTAGAGAGCGCTATTTATGCAATAGCGAAAATCAGACCTGAAAAAAATCAGGCCTGTACGGGATTCGAAACACTGACCTCTGCGATACTAGTGCAGCGCTCTACCAATTAAGCTAACAAGCCAACTGGGAGCAGGCCGTTAAGTTGATCTGTAATAAACCCGTGATGATAAATCAGGTATGATGAATATATGAAGTTCATATATTTTGAAATGCGGTTCTAGATACGCATGATGCACGATCCTCGCAGTAGGGAGCGCTATTTATGCAATAGCGAAAATAACTTTTTTTTTTCAGGTCTGATTTTCGCTATTGCATAAATAGCGCTCTCTACTGCGAGGATCGTGCATCATACGTATACTTTCTTAGATAAAATGCATTTTCTAGCAAGTAACATAAATTTACGACATAATCCTAACCCAATGAAAAAAAAATTCACAGGGAACTAAATGGTACTGTTAGCCAATTTTTTTACGTGCATAGACGTTTTCTACCGATCAAATTCGCTTGTAACTATCTTGGACTTCACCCCTTCACGTGCCAATTACTTGTAAAAAGATCCTCTGTATTTTATTAGGTATTCTGCATTCACGGGGCAAAGTCCAGAAAGGCAACAAGGAGCACAGGGAGCCCAAGCTCACTACCAGAAAAGCCGACGTGACTCTTACCGTGTTGCGCAACGCTTTATATTTATGAAGGTTTGTATGGGATGTTATCGGTTTGCCTTAAAAGAGAGAAAAAGATGTCTTGTTTTGAAATAAAATGGGCTTACCTTATTGCCTTGTTGTTTTCTTTGTTGATTCCTAGCGTCTTAGGCCATTTTGAAGCGTTTTCGGCGAGTTAGCGCTATGTTGGTGTTTTAGCAGTTGAATTGACCGTATGAAATTGCTGATTGGATGAAAGATACTTTTTCACAGTGACAATTTTTTTTTATGGTACTCCTGATTGGCTGCGTACGCGTACATCCATAATCAGTACCAGTCTATTCACTGCCATTTTCGTGGATAAATCTCATTACCTATGAAATAAATGATCGTTCAAAATCTTTAAAACAGTTTGTACTAGGACAAATCAATCCAAAACTGTGGCTTCGCGTAAAAAAAAATCCGTTACCAACAAACTTGATCCATCATCGAAAACAAGTTAGACCCAAGTCAGACAAATGAATAAAGGCTGGTAGTTTCTAAAGAAACTGTTTGGGGCTGCGTCGGTGGGGGTAACGAAATAATTTGGATATATCAACAAAGTTGAGATGGTAAATTGGCCACCGTAACGATTACAAAAGCTGACGTTTCGAGCGTTAGCCCTTCGTCGGAGCGAATAGAGGAATTGTGGGTTGTGTCACAGGCAGCCCAAGCTCACTACGAGAAAAGCGGACGTGACTCTTACCGTGTTGCGTAACGTTTTATATTTATAAAGGTTTGTATGGGATGTTATAGGTTTGCCTTAAAAGAGAGAAAAAAATGTCTTGTTTTGAAATATAATGGGCTCACTTTATTGCCTTGTTGTTTTCTTTGTTGATTCCGAACGTCTCAGGCCATTTTGAAGCGTTTTCGGCGAGTTAGCGCTATGTTGGTGTTCAACTGCTAAAAGAAAGACAAGGCCGGAAACCTATTTTAGAAGCGTCCGTCGCCCGAAGCGAATAATTCCGCCAAAAAATTTCCACCAGTCTCGATTCCTCCAGAAAATCAAAGCAGAGATGTTGCAGTTCCATTTTCCATTCACTCGATTCACAATTCCTCCCCCAGATCTTTCACTAGCGATACTTTTATCTCCAGATCGATAGGCTTTCCCATTTCGAATTTGGCTGGTTGAAACGACCACTGTCCCTTCGCCGATCGCACAGTATGTTGGGTAACAAAAATAAGCCCGGCGAGGGTAGCCAGCGGCCTGCAGTCCAAAAACAAACCCGTTAGCTCCCCTGGAATTTCGCCGCAGGTTTCGTTCATAGCTTGACACTCAGGAACGTGCACATGGCGATCGATCTCGGGTTTCCACTGAGATATTTAGACCTTCACAGATTGCCATATGTTGCTTAGAATGATTAGGTAAATTAAAATGTCTAGCGACTGGTTTCGATGTGTCCTTGTCATTCCTTTCCACGTCTCGAAGGTGTTCTCGGAATCGGTCACCTAGTCTTCTGCCTGTTTCGCCGATGTATATCTTTTTGCAATAAGTGCAAGTTATGCAATAGATTACATTGGCGGAGGTGCAC